AAAAAAAAAAGGGGGGGAAAATGCTGAGAAAAAGAGATTTACCAAAAATGATAATTGGACGACCTGGAGAATCATTTTTCTAGACAAATATTATCTTAAAATATATTTCCTTGAATTAGTGCAGCTGAAAATCCATTTTATTTAAAAGTATTCCCATGTGCACCCTAAAATCTCCTCGCATCCTGGGTAATGACAAAATAAGATGCAGGTGAAATGCATTTAGTCTCCCCACACAGAGGCACGTCCCAAGGTCCTGGGGTCAGGTCGCCCTGGGAACCTCCACTTGGCTTGAACCCCCTCTTTACAGTGTGCGATGGCGTCCTGGTCACTGACGTCCACTTGTCCAAACCCAATGGATGCACGGGGCGGATGGCCCCCAAGGTGAGCGGTAGAGGGTCAGCACGCCGCCCCTGGACTTGGTGGGGGGATGATCCCGCCGATGATCACCAAGGTCCGCGTCTGGGGCGGGATGTCCAAAGTGGGGGACACCGTGCGTGGGTGGGGACAGAGTGTGCATGGAGAAGACTTGGGTCCTGGGTGATTCGTGTGGCTACTAAATAAAAAAAAACCTGCTACAAAAGTCTGCAAAAAAAAAAAAAAAATCAAGTAGATGAATCTGATACATTGTCCTGGGAGGATACTAAGTAGCACTTTTAAGGAGAATTACGCGCCACATGCAGGTGCCAAGTGACCTAAACTGGCGATGGCAAACATCCAAGCTGAAAATAATAATAATGATAATGTGAAATCCATGCTACAAACTGAAAAAGGTCCTTCACGCTGCAAGACGTGCAGACTTCCAGTTCACCCCAAGGTCTATCCCGTGACCGTCTCATTATAAAACTCTTTGCAAGGTGTTTCCTTAGTGTGGGTCTTTATTTTTTTTTTCTTTTTCTCTTTTCTTTTCTCTTTTCATTCTGCACAGACCCTAACAGAGGATCCGGTCTCCAGGGGGCAGCCGCCAAGTCGTTAGAGGGGCACACGCGGGAGTTGATTTATCTGGAAACTCACCAAGAGTCGTCAGCGATTTCAGAAGAATTCACCGCGGCTCGGTGGGCTGCAGCCCCCCGGGATGAGGGACTCACACCCCCAGGTCCCCAGGCCTCGGCGTCGGGGACATTTGGAAAGGCCACAAGGCGCTGATGTCATGTGCAGGGTAAACACTCGATGCCCTATTATTGCACGCAACGGCTGGTCCTCCTCCCTCAGAGCTGTACGGAGAGAACCTGGTGACATTGGTACCCGCCTCCTCGTCGGCACCGTGTCGACGCAGCTGTCGTCACCGTCCTTGGTCACTGGTTTCCACTACTTTTTGCATTTTTGAATCGGCTTCTTTTGTTAGATGTGAAACACTCAGGTTCAATTGGGCCCAATTATCCAAGCTCGGGTCCTAGTTGGCTCCTACTCGACCCTTTCTCTCTCCTCCTCCCTCCCTCCCTCCCTGGGTGTCCGACCATTTACTCCACTGAGCCCGATGCTATTGATTCACAGATTTTTTTTTAAGAAAGAGTTTTGTGCAGAGGGCAGTGGGGATGGGAAGGATGGTGGAATGAGACGGACATTTTTACTCTATATATGCATGTGATTATACTACCAGTGCACCATGTACAGCCAGAGGAAGAAGTTGTGCTCCATTTGTGTTCAATGTGTCAAAATGAATTCTACCATCATGTATAACTAATTAGAACAAATTAAAAAAATTTTTTGAAATGAAGAAGAAAGGTAGTCCATGGGTATATAAACCTGTAGATGATTGTTCTCCCTAATATTTCAACCCTTGTGCTGTTTATTAGGTGGACTAATGAGAAACTCAAAATAGCCAGCCCCTCTTGTGGTAGCAATGTGTCCCTCATGTGGCAGAAAGAAGGACGCTGGCTTCATTCCAGAGGGCCTTTTTTGAGCTGCTCTGGGTTGCTCCCTAGGAAGACCATAGTCATTCATTGCTTTGGCATATGGTACCCTCTTCCCTCTCCATCCTTATCTTCAGAGGTCTTAGAGAGGAATTAAAAGAAATGTCCCTGTTCATCCTGTTCTCAATAAATAGTTTGTTTTCCAATGTTTTGGAAAAGTTGTTTTCCAATGTTCCCTTTTCACCTGAAAGCATCCTTGAGCCAAGTGAGGCCAGGCTTCAGGCAAGTGGGAGTTCAGGGGATGTTTCCATCTGGAACAGGGCACTTGGAATCAGAGATGCTAACCGCTGTGCCTGAGGGAGGGAATCCTGGGGGCCATTATCACCTAGGAAACACTCAGTGGTTTTGCTCCCTGTACTCCTTGTGGAGTACACAGCTCTTTGCCTCCCCCCTTCCCACCACCCACCTGCATTCCTGGGGCCTCCTTTGTGGATGACCTGAAGGTGGAGTCAGGCAGCAGGCAGCCATGGTAGGGGGCCTTCCTTTGTCATGGGAATTGGCTGTCTGTCATCCCATATATATTCCTGCTGGTTCTCACTCACAGCATCTACAGGAAGCATTTATAGCAAATACTTGCCAAGTGTTTTCCATAAACACACAACTAAGGACATTTTTCACACATTCCAACATTCTGTAAATGTTTATTTCTTCCCAATACTCAAAGAAGGTTGAGCACACAGTTTGCACAAATGGGCCTTTGAAATATGGGCTTTGGCCTGAAGAGAATCCACTTGTGAGTGTGGCCTTCCACTTGTGTGTCTCTAGCCACATTGTCCCCAGGGGTGCACCAGGCATGTGAAGTTGACACCCTGGCAGTTTCCAAGTGCACTTTCCTCCACAGCTTGGATAGCGTATGCAGATGCCATGTACCGACTGCTGAGGAGCTGCTGGGCCCCGAGCCAGCCTCATGATGACTAGCGAGGGTGGAGGGTCTGGAAACCTTGCCTGAGCCCTTGGTCTGAGATGGGACTGTGGGTGACAGAGGATATAGCAAGATGATTTTGCCATATTGTGATTTAATTTCATCTGAAGATGAAGAACGAATAAGTCATGGAAACTCTCCTAGGAGAACCAGGGAAGCTGGAGGTCTCCATAGTCACTGTGGGGCTCAGCCCACCCAACCAGAGGCCAGAACTCTGTCCTCTGCTTACCATTTGCCATTGCTAACTATCTCGTTCATAAGTGCCTACTGCATGCCACACTCTGCTGCAGTATGAGAGGTTCAGAGGTGAGGAAGCCATAGCTTGACCCTGTCAGGAAAGGTAAGGCATACACACTTCACCCCAATTGGGGGCAAAAGGGAGAATTGCTGAAAGGAAGATATAGATTAAAAAAAAAATCACAGGCCTTTAAAGGAAGAGATTATGTAAGGCATTTAACTGGAGAAAGTGACATTTTGAGGAGAATCTAAAGGAGAAGAAAAATTGGGACAGGTGTTAGAGGGGAAGTGTGGGGAGGGGTGTCACAGATGCAGTTTCCATAGGAGGGATCCACATCTGGGCCTGTTCCTGTAGGAGGGCTCTCCCACAGCTGGGCTCCTTCCTCTTGCAGAAGTAGCCAAGATTTGGGACTCTTAGGCAGAATGAGACCTAGTGAGATGAATTCCATTTAAAAAGTTAGATTTAATAATAAAAAAAAATTTAAAAAAAGCAATTTTCTTTTCACCTGCCTTTAACTTCAAATAAAACAACTTATGGCCTAATTTCTTATTTGGGTTTCAGTCAATAATTTTCCTATTGTAGCTAAATTCGTATGTAACAACAGAAGTAACATTTCCCATTGGAAAATATGTTTCTGACATGGCTGGCTTATTATTTGTCAGAAGAGAGGATGGGAAGGAGTTGTCTCTACTCACCTTTCCATCTCCTCCGATCCATTCCCTACACTGTGAATTTCTAACTTTTATGAGCTAAGTGAGAAAGGGAGGCGGGGGGGGGGGAGGGGGAGAGCTGACTTAGAGGAATCCACTTTGCCACTGGCTCTGTTTGTTTAGTATCGCAAGTTACATCCAAATGTGTTTCAGACAATATATGTGCAAGGTAACTTTATTTTGAGACTTCCATAACTGTTGACACAGTGGTGACAATTTCTCAGTATGAAACCAGGCTTGAGAAATGTCAGGCTTAATTTTTCATCCAACGGTGACTGTCAGGCAAAGCCCAGCGTCTTGGTGTCTTTGCATTCTGGTGAAGGAGATGGTAGGCATTTGTATTCAGTAATGAATGTTGAGCCCTGTGATCTTGAGATTTATTGCTAATATTGCCCAAGATGCAGAGGGGCTTCTTTGCCTTCATTCAGCATCCATTTCCCAGTTGTAATTAATCTTTATTGCATTCCATCACTCACTGTGGTTTGAAATGTTAAAAAGATGCCTCTGGAGAGACAGGCTGGCATCCATGTCTTCTCCTTCAAGATGGGACTGAGAGTTCACCTTCTCCACAAGGCTCCCCCACCTTGTCCACTTCACCCCATCTACATCCCTGATGCTTTCCTGTAAACAATGCAAACATTATAGAAGCACCTCAAATAGGTGGCTAGGATGTGAAAGTCTGCCTGCCCCACAGAGCCCATCCCCTTTTATCTTCCAAATAGATTATAAATCCCTATCTTCCAAATAGACTATAAATCCTTCAAGTCGTTATTTAGTTCATGCATACTTTTTTTTTTTTTTGTACTGGGAAATGAACTCAGGGGCACTCAATCACTGAGCCATATTCCCAGTCCTATTTTGTGTTTTATTTAGAGAAAGGGTCTCACTGAGTTGCTTAGTACCTCATTCATGCTTTTTTACAAAGCACCTAGCAAGTTGCCCCACAATAATAAATGCTTAAGATATCTTTCCAGTGAATGAACCAATGAAAGAGGGAAGTATTGTAGGGATTTGGGGAGGTGGAAGTGGAGACCTAGAATTCAGCTGAGAAATTTGAGGAAGTAGTGCTCTGTTTTTCAAAACGTGGACCTTGAACTTGCAGCAACAGCATCATCTGGGAGGTTGTTAGAGAGGTGGACCTCCGACCCCCACCTCACACTGCTGAATCAGAAGCTGCGTTTTAACAAGCTCCCCCAGTGATACGTGAATACCTTAAAGTTTGATAGATAATGTCTGTACGGTAATTTAAAATGTGAGTTTCCAGAAACAACGGCAAAGAAGTGCATTTGGTTTGCATTTAAACAGAGTACTTTGGAATAGTTTTCCATCAGGAGATTTCATAGGATGCGGTGAGGCTTCACCATTACATCCTGTGCCCTGTCCTTGGGCCTCCTATGGGACATGATAAAGGACATAAATATAAAATGGCAAGAAATTGACTGGGCCATTTCTAAACCATCACCTATAGTGATCCTATCTGGTCAATTCTAAACCGCAGCCAATTTACTTAAGCTCCAGGGTCTTGATTTCCTCATCTGTGAAATGTAATCCTGTTTCAGCGGCTGGTGAGGAACAAATGAGCGAAACACTCGAGAGAGTTTACACATGGTAATCGTTTGATCTATAGTTAGACTTTTTAAAAGAATTTTTGAAATTCACATACCATAAAAGTAACCCTTTTAAAATGAATTAGTCAGTAGCACTTAGACATTCACAATGTTATCCATGTATCACCTCAATCTACTTCCAAGACATTTACATTGCTCCCCCCTCCCCCCCAAAAAAAAACACAAAACATGGTGTACAATAAGCAATTTGCTTCCTAGTTCCCTTCTCCCCAGCTTCTGGCAACCAACTATCTGCATTCTCCCTCTAGGGCTTTTAACTTACCAATATTTTTTATTAGTCACAGACAAAAAAAAAATTACCAGATTTATTGCTTTTTCCATTGACTCTCATTTCTTTGCATGTCTTTAGAAACCAGAGGTTTGCTAATGATGGAAGCTGGGAGGATCGATGTGAAATACCTTTTTAAATTAATGTTTTTGCGGTGCTGGGGATGAAACCCAAGACTTCATGCATGCTAAGCAAGTGCTCAGCCACTGAGCCACATCCTCAGCCCAATGTGAAGTGCCTTTAAATCAGTGGTTCCTGAAGTATAGTCCCAAACTAGCAGCCTCCACGTGACCTGGGAAACACAGATTCTTGGTTCCATCACAGAATGAAACACAATTCTGGGGGTGGGGCCCAGCAATCTGTATGTTAATATGTTTCTAGAGGATTCTAATGCATATTTAGTTTAGAGAACCACTTTTTTAAATAAACAAACCTGTGATGGTGCCTGAAGATGCCCTCCACCCCTGCAGCCATCCTTGGATCCAGGAACACTGTGCAGGCCTGGGAGAGGAGATATGCCAGCCCAGCTTCTTCCGTGGAGGTGTCTGCTGAGGAATAGGGACCTGCTGGCCTTGGAGTGGTCAACAGAGCTGGTTCCTGGGCCTCCCTCGGTGATATTGAGTCACTGTGCACATATAAACACAAGTTGTTCTCTCTGTGATTTAATACCTTCTGTTCCACTCACTTGAATATTCAAAGGGAGGGCCTTTCAGCAGAGCCTGGCTCTGATTGCTAGGTGTGTTTCACAAGTCTGGCTTTTGTTGCTGTATATCAAAGTGCGGGGAGCATTTCTTTTTGGTTGATTAATGTTCAATTCGAGGTCTATTATGAACCTCCAGGCTTTAATTACTACACCATTACCCAGTCAATTCCTTGCCATTTTATATTTATGTCCTTTATTATGCCTCTGTATGTGCAATTGCCTAATTTTATTCTAGAAGCATTTCACCTCATTAGCTGGGTTTTATTCCATTCCTCTCATTTGTCCAGATTGTTATTTATCTGAGTTCCCTGTGTGCATTTTCCACTTTTGTATTTTCACCAATTTGACCTCTGAATTTTTTCCCCTCCACTTCCTGGAATGCATTGTTCTTTGGCCCTTGGAAACAGCTCCTGAAGGTTTTGCACACCTTGCTCTGGGTGTTCTTTTCCTTGGTGGTCAGTTACACTGACACCCCTAACACAGTTGTTTTCGACCTTCTGAAAGCCCATTACAGCTTATCATCATAATGGCCAATTAAGACTCAGTGAAGGTGAAGGATGTTGCTAAAAATAACCTTTAAATATTCTCTTCGATTCTTTTGCAATATTCTCATCCTCAATCCCCTGCAATAGCTCAGCAGTATTTGGGGTTTGGCTTACTGACTTGCTTATTTTCTTGGGTTCCACACTAGAGCAACTAAATCACCCTCACAGGAACTGTCCAGAGGTCTGCATTTGATAAGCCCTCCAGGGAATTCTGATGCACACTAAAGTCAGAACCACTATCACAAAGAAGTGCTGCAAGAACTTCAGGGGACCCATCTAAGTCAGAAATAATGTTTATTCCACTCAAGTCCTCACTTTGCCAAAGAGCAGTTACTAATCTATAGAAGTTGTGTTTTGCTTTCTTCTGCATTTTTCCCAATAGCTTTACCCTAGCTGCTATAAGAATATTTCAGATATGCAAATGATAATGCCCAAGCACAACAGTTCACGGCATTGTTAGAATACTATTGGTATCAACCATCATCATTGTCCAATATTTGCTGTGTTTGGGGCATGAACTGTGTTTTCATTTAGTCTTATAACCCTTTATAAGATTTTTAAAAATTTATAAGACTGAAAAGGGTTTAGTTTATAACCCTTTGTGGTAGAATTCCCGCCTCCATTTTTTACACAGAAAACTGAGGCTAAGCAATGTGCACAGTCACCAAGAAATAGACTTTGTTAGAAGTAGATACAGGAGGTTTGTTTCTGTCCAGAATCACAGTGCTGTTTACACATCTGTTTCATGTTAAGCCCTTTCCTCATCAAACCTTCATTACTATTTACCTTTTCTTTTTTTTTTCAGCAAGAGTTAGTAACCAGGAATGTGGGTTCTGGAGTCAGCCACCTAAGTTCCTGGGATGGTTCTTTTTTATTTCTGTGCGGTGTGACTTTTAACAAGTTACTCAACATCTCTTTGCCTGATTCTCCGTCTGTAAAGTGGAATGGTGTAGCATTTCTGCTGTTAGTGTGTGTGTGTGTGTGTGTGTGTGTGTGTGTGTGTGTGCGCGCGTGTATTGTGTGAAATGAGACAATCAATGCAAAGCTCTTAGAACAGGTCTGAGGGATAAACGTCATCTACAAATATCAGCTGCTGTTTATCTTTTGCTGTCATCTTATCTGCACCCTTAAAGTTTTTTTTCTTTTAGGATTATTTTCCTTGGAGCCTCACTTCCTTTCATGCTGATCTGGACTAGCAGCCTATTCTTCTAATTTGTTCTGTTTTGTTTTTCTGCTCTGCAGACTTACTATAATTTTAATGTTCTTTCTTTTGCCCATTTGAAATCATCCTATTAGGACTCTGGCATGTTTGTTTAATTCCCTGGACTTGCTTACAATTCATGATCACAATTAACCTTGTGTGCAGCCCCCTCGAGGCTACTTAGTGTTCTTCCCAGTGCTCGTCTCTGACTTTCTGGGGACCAGTCGCCATGAGCATTGGTGCCAAGGGAGAATGGAGGAGAAGTGAATCCTTCGTGGCTCCCAAGCTTCTGTAAAAAGAAAGAAAGCCGGGTTACTCTTTGACTTGGGAGGGGTCTGGGTTTGGTGGGGGGTGAGGTAGGGGCAGAAGCTTCATTCTGGGCATCTCTGTTACTAATGTAAAGTGACTTCTTCTTCAGGGTATGCGGGGGGGGGGTGCTCTCCTGGCTAAAAATTTAGTTTTATCTCTTAAGTTTATTTGTTTGCTTAAAATGTGTCAACGTGGTCATTTCCCTTAACTGAGGGCAGGAGAAGGGTTTTATGGTATCTTGAGGTTGCCAGGGGTTTTGAGGACAGATGTTGGTTGGAACTGCTCAGGATTAGGACTTCCCTGTGGAAGCATCATGCCATGGAGTGACTTGTTCTTTGGGGTTTTTGCTTGTTCTCTCTGCTGGCAGCACCTTGTGTTCCTGTGGAGGTTTCTGTTTGAATGCAGCTGCAGGGTACTACCTGTCAGGCACTTTCAACGTAAGTAGGTGAGGACACCAATTTTTGGCTGTGCATCTTATGCTCAAGTGACGAGAAGGTGTCTGGCTTACTTTCATATGTCCTGAGAGGCCCATCATCAGACAGCCAACCTCATAGCATTCATGATTTTGGTTTAGTTGCTGGTTTATTGTGTGAAATGCTGGCCAAGGGCCACGTGGGAATCGAAGGGGGAGGGCAATGAGTTATACATCGAATATCATCATGAATATAATTCTGTTCAGGGAAAGAGGGTGATTCAGACATAGGTCTAATGAGATTCTTTGTGGCAGAATTATACATTCTCACGACTTCCATGAGTTTGTTTTGGGCACTTTGCCTTCATGTGTAGCTTGACAGGCACAGCAGTCCCACGAATTGTGTTTTATGTATGTCTGCATGGCTCACAGAGATGCATTGCCTTGCTTAAGCCTCCATGAGTTAGTGGCAACTTTGCCCAGCTCTCCACACTATTCAGTCTTGGGATCATAACTGGGTAATACTTACAATCCCTTCTCTTTGGAGAGGATACCACATGACTTCTCACACAGATGCCAGTGGCCTGTGAGGAGGACACACGTACTGAATGCAGGTTAAAGTCAAAAGATCATGAAGGTTCAGCAAGGGAGGGAAGCCTGTAGATGTCAGGACGCCTTTGACGGTGTCCTCTAGAGATGGCTTTGGGCCACAGAATGGATTGGGTTTGCCCTGGTGGAGACAGCTTCCACAAAGCAGTAGGAAGTGGGTGAGGCACAGCCAACAGGGTATACGTCAGCAGGTTAATGCTGGAAACAAAATAAGACTGTGAGGGTGGCCCTTGCAGCCAGAGGAGGGCTGGCTGGCTTTCTCCTCAGCACTGAATGGTCAAGCCAAGCTAAAGGGTTCCTGAACTGCATAGTTGAAGAAAGACCAGAAGAAATACACAGCATTCTATGGGGAGCTCAGAATTTATGGCTATAAAATCTGAGGGGATACTCCTCAGCCTCTTTGGTCACTGATGTTTAGGGGGTAAATGAGATGAAAGAGAACCTTATAGTTCTGTCTAGGAGGAGCTAGGACTCAGCTACTCCTTTTAATTTCAAGACAGAGGAAATTAAGGAAAGTTCCCTCAGCCTCCTTAGGCACGAAATGCATTGAGTTTCACAGAAGTACTTATGTGAAGCCGATTTGTAAACGATAAAGAGGAAGGAAGAGATTTGGTAATGAAAAGTTGGTAGAGAATGTATAAATCCACTGTATGAAGCATCTTATAAAATACACAACATCGTACAGTATTGTGAGGTTGACAGGGAGCCCAAGGACAGATGTTTGTCTATTTTACAAAGCATGCAGAGAGTTACAACTTCTTTTGGTAAATGCTGAGTGACAATAGCAGGTTTTAGTATTTCATTCTTTGTGGGTTCTGTTCCAGAATATTTGCTCTTAAAGTGAACACTAAGGGGGAAATAAGGGTACAAAATATGCCTTGATATTTCCAAGGGAACTTTTCTAAGCATCTCAAGTGGACATTGGTTAATACCAGAATATTGAAGGTACATATAGATGTATCAGTGTCGTTTTAAAAAAATAAAATCTACTATCTAATTTAAGAATGACTTCTCACTATAGTAATATCTAATTGGTAAGAGACATAACCATAGTCTTTTCTAAGGTATTCTTGTAAGAATTTCGATCTTAAAGCTTATTCAAGCAACTTTAAATATCTGGGTTTTTTTTTTTTGTTTTTTTTTTACTATAGAAATCAGTCAGAAAGGAGAGTTTATTTTTTCTTTGGGTGGGTAAATATGAGAAGATGGACAGTGCATTAAAAAGTAAAGAGAAGGGCTTCTTCAAGCGGATTTACATATTGATTACTTAAATTACCACTTAATTTAGTGCCTGCTAATAAACTGTGCCTTGGAAATGTTTTCCGAACATTTATTGGCTGCAGTAATTCTACCTACAGTGTATGCGGATCACATCCTCATTAAATATTGATGCGCTCATGAAATGTTAATAGAATGTTAATGTGAAATACAAGGGAATGTGCTCGCTGGGAGCTGGGATCCCAGAGCTAGCTGAAAACTACCTGTCTCCTGTCTTTTCTTTATGCCTGTCTTCTCCCTGTCGTGCTCCCCTTCCCCGGCCCCCATTCGTCTTTCCATCATCAGGAGTTTCAGATTTGCTTACTGATCTGGATGTCTCCAACATAGGATTTTTAAAAGAGATATATGATTCCCTGGTTGATGGGGACTTAGTTGTTCTCCCTTCCTGCTTTCCCTGAACTGAAATCCCTGGTTAGAACCAGGAAGGATTCCCTTAAGAGAAAAAGGGTGATTCAGACTTGGGTCTAAGGAGATTCTTTGTGGCAGACCAGGCAGAGGGAGATGAGGCTTTCCGGGACTCCAGCCATGGCCCTTCACTGCCTGCTAGGAACAAGGGTGTAGTTGGAGTTCCCCTTCTGCTTTCTTCGAGAAAAATACAGCCCATCACATGTGCTACCTACCTAGAGAGATCGTAAGGAGGCATTTTTCATTATCCCTCTCAGGGAGAGTGAAGGCTGTGTTCACGATGATCTTCGATGTATAATTATTCATGTGAGCGTACGTTACAAATGGTTGAAAAGTCCCACGAAATGGCATAGTTCATCAGCTCCTTGGATGATCACGAAGGCTGTGAAAACTGCTGGTGATACATCACGTTAAGTCAAGATCCAGCGTGCCAGCTGTGAATGTGATCCGTAGGGTCAGGTAGAAGTGTCAAGTGGCAAGGAACATCCATAGATGGAAACAGTTCACTTTGTCATTAGAGTACTGCCAATGTGTGTAATTGTGTGTGTGTGTGTGTGTGTGTGTGTGCGTGTGTGTGATTGTTATGGTGTTTATACAGAAAATAATTGGAGCACATTTTTATTAAATTCCCACTCCTTTAGTTTTAAATAACTCAACCCTCTAATGAGCTGTCCTTATCACTCCTCTTTGTAATTACCCTGCCTGCCTCAATAAAACAGCTCTTGTGCTTACTTTTCCTTCACACCCACACCCTCGGCTGGCTTTCTTCTTCCCTTTCTCCAAGTTGTCTTCTTCTGATCTCTCTTTCTTAAGGGCCTTCCCCTCCTTGCCTTCCTTGCTCCCTCTGGGTCTCTCCCCTACCATCTGGGCTTCCCTGCTCACTCTGCTCCAGACTGGCCCCTCCAGGTCCTGGAAGTTGCCCCGCACCAGGTCAAGTTCCTCTATGCTGTAGATCAGGCAGTGTGTTGGGCTGCCTGAAATGCACCCAGCTTCCCTCAGGCAACACTGACCTTGATCCTTCTATCTGCAGTGTTTTCTTTCTTACAGACCTTGACATAGCAAGGCTCCTTTTCTCATCTTTTGATTCTCAATAGTCAGAGAACCTCCTTTGATCATGTCATCTAAACTCTCTCCCTGAAGATTTCCCTGTCACTTTTTATCATAAGTTTTTTTTTTTAAAAAAAATTATGTTATTTTATTTTCATTAGCCCCTGTGATGACCTGTAGCTACCTCTTTTGTTTTTAATCTGTCTCACTTTAATTGTAATGAATACTCAGAGGTCAGGAATTTTATTTACCTGGTTCCTCATATGATGAGGCCCAGCTATCTTCCTGGTAGATAAGAGGTACTTGATTAATATTGTTGATTAAGGGCTGGGGATAGAAGCCTTAATTGCCTCAGTGGTAGAACATTTGCCAAGTGTGTGTGAAGCCCTGGTTCTATTCTCAGCTCTGAAAAAAACTGTGTGTGTGTGTGAGTGTGCATGCACACACACACACACACACACACACACACACACACACACCTGTGTAGTTGATTAAGTTGATCAAATACCATCCTCACCACTTTGCTACCCAGAATCTAGATAGGTGTCAGTTTGTTTTGTGTTACTATAGTGAAATACCTGATGCTGGATAACTTTGTACAATAAAAAAGATTTATTTTGCTCACAGTTCTAGAGGCTTCAGGTTAAGAACCTACATTTGGTGATGGCCTTCCTGCTGTCAGAGTTCTGAGGTGGTATAGCATATCACATGGCAAGAGAAAAGGAGCATACATTTGTGTCTTCTCTGATCTTGATCCCTTTTCTTATAAAGCTACCAGTATTCAGTCATGGGGCTCTACCCTAATGACCTTATCTAATCCTAATGTCCTCCCAAAGGTCCATCTCTAAAACATCATGGTCAGATTAAGTTTCCCTCTCTTAATTCCTCACAGTGGGGATGAGATTTCAACACATGAAGCCTTAGGGGACACTAAAATTATGTCCACACCAGAGCAAAGGGGAAACAAAGGGGCAGTCAGTCTCTGCAGAGCCTCACTGTGGAGGTACCAGGCCACTCTTGCTTACTGCAGAAGAGTTTCAGGAACAACTTTAGACATGAACAAATGGCGTATAAGACAGAGAAATAACTAGCCTTCTTGGGAATTTTTCCTTTTGTGACATATGAATTAGAAGTTTAGTTACCTGAGTGTTTTGTTGCTCTGTTCTGATCTTATTTAATCTATGTGTAGAATATTTCCCTTAAATTTAAGTGATGGGAACATATTGAGGTGCTTAAGGAAAGAGGAGAATTTCTTAGATGAAATAAAGGATTTTTTTTATTTTTTAGAGGAAGAACCAAGTAAACAAACCCTGAGGCCAGAGAAGTATCTCTGCCACAGGAATAAGTGGACCCCGTGACCCAAATACTATTCTCATCTGTTTTTCTTTGCACTTGGGCTTCTTTTTCATTTTTTTGCAGGCCAACATCTGGGTAACTTCTGACCTGACCGCCATCAGCATAGGTGGACCAGTTTTTCCCCTTTTAGGAGATGGCTCAGGGAGGGACTCTGTTTGGTCCATTTTGTGTCACATGTCCCACAGAAGTGATTCAGTCAACAAATGCCAGGGGTGAGATCTTGCAAGAACACAGAAACTTCCACAGGAAATGTACAATTGAAACATAGGAATTGAAGCCACAGAAGATTTTGCTGTTCCCAAGAAAGGGAAGCTAAGATTGGAATGCCTGGACTGTAGTTTTGTCTCAAGTGAAAAAAATCTTCATTGCACTCTTTTGAAAAATTCCCCTTAGATACCTCTGTGCAAATGGAAACCAAGATGCAAAATATTTCCTGATTAAATCAGAGAGAGTTGTTGTGGGAGATTTGGAAAACTTGAGAATTCAGGATCCTGCATACTCAATATTAGGTGCTTTTTTTTTGCCCTGGCCCTGACAATCTTAGTTTGGGGATCTGGAGCTCCTCTATGGGAACGGAGCCAGTGTTCTGGGTCTTTTCAGTCACTGACTTCCCTTTCTGACCTATATCCTTTTCTACTGCAGATCGTGCTGGAGAACAGTAGCCGAGAAGATAAGCATGAGTGTCCCTTTGGCCGCAGTAGTATAGAGCTGACCAAGATGCTGTGTGAGATATTGAAAGTGGGCGAGCTGCGTAAGTACTCTTGTTTGCCACATGGCGGGAAGCTTGGCAGCACCCAGCTGCAGGTCCCCAGCCTATGCAAAGAATCCCAAGGTGCTGACTGCTTCTCACAATCACTACTCTGGAACAGTTATTCTTTGGCTGGGGCTTACAGTGTCTGCATTTCCACGTGTCTGTTCTGGATAGAAACATTGAAACCTGTGAGAGTGGAGAATTTTGCAGATATTGTGACTGAGTTTCAAATATGTTAAAAATGAATGTATATTATACCAATCTTGTTGCAGGTTAGGAAAATGTGGAACTCTTTTTTTTTTTTAATTCCAGTTCATAATCTACCAGTAGATCATTTTCTCTTCTTTCTTTCAAAACCATTTTTCTCTATAAAGAAAAATTGAATACCTTAATGAAATTCTCTTGCTCCTAGTGTTTCTGTTGTACAGAGTACTTTCTCTAAGGGAAAAGGAATTATTGAAGAAAATGGGTAGCTGCAACTGAAAAATATAGTCAGAGATATGCTTATGGCTCTTTTTCTTACTTATATTGTTAATTTTGCAAGAGGATGGCTAGAGAAAGAGGAGAGGCCAGTTTTCTGTCTGTTGCTCATTGGCAAAATTTGGCTTTAGCCAATGAAGGTGGATATGACTTAACCTTTCCCCAATCTCATTGTCAATGTTGACATCCTTAAAGTGGCTGACTTTGACTCTCTCCCACATCTATGGAGCCAGCAAACTTATAAATCTTTGCTCTTAGCCTTAATAACATCAGTGCTGGAGAAGACTCTTTATATCAGGAAGTCATTGGGGTGTTTGGTATTATTGGGAAAGCATAAATATGCAGTCTTCTGCTTGAGAGCTTAAAATAATGGTCTAGAATGATGAATGGGAAGGAATCCAATGATTAAATTGAAAAGGGGGGTGATCTTTATATACACTGTAGGACTGATTATAGCTGCTGCTGAGACCAACTTAGAAAATTTAGTACTTAGCAAAGGCTAAGAGTTTGAGTGTGTTTGACCAAACAAAAGGCCTTGTCACCCTCCAGTGAGGACGGGTCCTGAGAAGAAGCTGACCTTTGATCTGGAACTGCATGAAGTTCATTACTTTTAGGTGACCCAATCAGTGCATTTTCACATTACGATAGTAGCAACCTAACCTGGAGATTTCTGAATTAATCTGCTCTCATTTACTTTTTACCAGATGTTAAGATTTCAATCTTGGACATGAGTTATCTGTCCCACCCCCTAATTAAAGTAGCTCCTGAGATCGTAGGCTGCAGTAACGCTTAGTATTTATTCAATTTAGGATGGAAGTCCTAAATCACACAAATCCCACTGGATCTATCCACCTGATCACTATGACAATTTCATGTTTATCTCCATTTCAGAAGGGGGAATTGTTGAAAGTCACTCAATTTAAAGCATATCAAGCCCATCTGAAATTTTTTGGAATCAGGAAACAATCCTGTTCTCCTAGGTTCTGATTTCTGGGTTCAAGTTGTTGCCCTGCATTTCCCCTTTCTCTCACCAGCCCTTCCCATCCTACCCAGTGACACTGTGGCTGTCTGCTGTCCTCTCGAAGGCAGCAGGAGGTATCCGGCTTTCTGCTCTTCTCCTTTCCCCCGTGGACATGTCTACCATAGTGATATGATGTAGAAGCAGGAGAATGTGGTTGGTGAAGAAAAGCTGGGTCTTCTCCTCTCTGCCACTTAGGACCATGTGTCTTTGGGGAAATTACTCACCAACCTCACTATCCTCTTACAGCCCTGGTTTTTCCCCAGGGCAAAATATCCAAAAATGGTTGGTCATATTTTGGGTGATGGTCTGGGTGGGTTGTCTTCATTTTGTGGCTAGGATCATGGAGTTAGCTCTGAGAAGATTCTCTTGGGGGCAGATAATATTCAACCTGGAGGGATTGACTTGGAAAACATAGCCAATTTCCACAGTGTGCCTGGACAGAGTAACGGCAGCCCTAATTTAGGCAGAGTTCTGGGTCTGTGGGTCCCTATCTGGTGGGCAGAGGAGAACCATGGTGGCAAGAGTCTGAGTCCATGTCTTCCTCCAGTGAGCACCTGCTGTGTGCCTAGGGTTGAGGTAGGTACAGAGTAGGGGACAGGATTTGACCCCTGGCAGGTATAGAGTAGTTCTCTTGGCCTTTTGAAGACTTGGTAGTCAATTCTAGAAGCAGGACAGAACCTCATTCCTCTGGACTGAGGTAACAGAATGGAGATGGAGGCAAATGCTGTAGAGAGGCCGGAGGTGATGGAGATGCTCTTTTTGCACTGTAGCTTACTCTATAACCCACCTTCTGGTGAAGACAAAGTCCCTAACATGCTGCCACAACTCATGCAGCATCTGGTCAAGCTGGTGTCTACAGTCAGGCTGGGTCCTGGTCTTGTCAGGCCAGCTTGCTTTCATCTAAAACAACAAATGCATTTATTCATTTGTTCAATAAAAATCTACTCAACACTTAAAATGTGCCAGGAGCACATGGTGTACATATGAACCAGATACAGTGCCTGTCCCCCCAGGAGCTTCTATAATGTCTTAGATTTCAGAAAGTGGAAGAATGAGTTGGAACTAATACTTTTTTCCTGTGAGTTGAATACATTATATTTTAAAATAAATGCCTAAATGTTTGCCTATTCTAAAACATAATTTTCTCAATGTTTTGAACTTTGAAGTTCAAGTTTCCAGTTTGACCTTTTTCTTACCAGCATCTGTAAAGGCCATTCAGGATATTTTTCAAGGCTTACAAAAAAACTTTCACGTTTCTGGAGTCTACATGCCCAAATGAGTTGTTTTCTGCTCATAAAATATTTAAAGATTGCCACATTCTGATTGAATGCTAGACATCAAATGATAAAACACCCCATGGTAAGAGGAAAATTGCTTTTTTAATAGATTGCTTTTTGCCCATTGCCATATTAAATAAGTTACTAATATGAAAAACAAATCTGAATGCACCCTTATGTTGAAGGAGATATCTATTTTTCTTCTGAGGAAAATTAGTTTCACACACAAATTTATCTTCCTTTGGTTTGCATGCATCTATTTTTTCTTATTCCTAAGTTTGTGGTTCAGGGCCCTATTCAGATTTGTGTTAATAATTGACCTCGAAGACCAGGGTCAGTTTAGTTCTTTAACTAAGCACTGAGACCAAAGAAGCAATTAAAAATCCAATTGGTTGAAAAAAAAAAAGAATGTTTACAAAAGTACAAAGACTCAATTTTCTAGAAATGAATTCTCTTTTGATTTTAATTTTAAGTCTCTTGAAATACCAATTATATTTTGGCATCCAAAACAAACATATTAATGTTTAATTAAGTTACTTATACCAAATATTTATATATTTTTAAAGGTTCCCTTAAAAATCACTATTTTTCTGCTTCCCAATTATTGATGTTGCAAGAGGCAAATATTATCTCTAACAGTGTGGTCTAAAATAATGTCTATTTATATTCTTAGAGCACTTTATCAAGGTTATTTATCTGAAGTCTGTAGAACCCCCAGGAGTTAATTAAGATCAATACCATCTATGTTTATTAATGAAGGGAAGACCTGCACTAACTGCATTCTGTCTAAAGTCACTGAGCTCAAACTGGTGTTGAGAATACCCGAGTAGGAAGAAGCTGAATGGTAGTATTTGGACATCCTGAATAATCCATCTTTGAATGACAGCCCAGCTCCTAATTGGATGCCTTGGGTACATTGACCTTCTGTTCTGAGCTTCTGATTCTTTATCTATAAAATAAAGATCACACCTTTGCATGCATTTGATGGGAGGCTTGAGAGAATGGATGTTGCCTTTAGAAAATGGGTAGTTATTTTGTTTTTGTTTTGCTTTGGTTTTTTTTTTTTTCACGATAGAATTTTACTTTCTATGAGTAAACTTCAGGTTTAATGAGGTGGGGAACGTGTTCCCACATAAGTGGCAGCTGGAACCAGGACCTGGAACAATATCCCTCTCTACATACTGGCAAAAATTTAGTATAATTGGTCCTCCATGTCCCTGGATTTTTAATCCATAGATTAACCAACTGTGGATTGAAGAATTTGGAAAAAAAAAATTGAATCTATACTGAACATTTGTAGCTAACATTTTTTTCTTGTCATTTTTCTGTAAACAATATAGTATAGCAATCACCTGCATAGTATTTACATTGTATTATGTACTGGAAGTTATCTAGAGATGATTAAAGTATAAAGGCAGGAATGATATTGACCAAATTATGTTGTTATATTATGTGCATGTATGAATATGTAACAATGGATTCCACCATTAGGTATAATTGTATGAAAACAATATTTTAAATTTTAAAAGTCTGAGGGAAGATTGTGTAAGATATATAAAAATACTACATTATTTTATGCAAGGAACTTGAGCATCTATGGATTTTCATAACCTCTGGGGGTACTGGAATTGATACCCTGTAGAACCCAAGGACAATGTTCTTTTTAGCCTGCTTTTTCAATAAGGTTCTTTTGAAAGCAAGTCCTATGTTTTCCCTCTGTTTCAATTCTAAAAGTTGGCAATTCACAAAAGAATTCTTAGAGTCCCTGTTGTGCTCACAAATCCCCATAGCCTGCCTTGTATAATGGGCAGCCCCAGTTAGGAGAATAAGAGTGAAGGAGAAGACGCGAGTCTTCAAAAGAAGGGTTATATTTGTCAGTGTGGAGTCAGTGAGGGTGGAGGGAGGCAGGCGGTGGTGCCTCAGAGAAGAGAGGAATCACTTGGACATATCCAGATGCTCATTACAGATCTGAAATCCTTAAAAAGATACCCAACTTCTAGCAGGGGGAAAAAAAAAAAGAGTCTTTGATTTTGTTATTATTACATTCATGCCCCAAGACATAATAAATTGTTGATAGATGCAAGGAAAAATTGATTTCTGATACAAACAGGTTAATTATCTTTTGAATATATAGCACCCTACTCCAACTATATTCCAGTGTGGGTAGAGGAAGGATCTGTCTGTCTCTGTCTTGCAGTCATTCAGTAACTATAGGGCTTCTT